CCACACGTTAATTATATAATCTTTACGTGTCTATTAATTTCTAATCGATCGTACTTGATTAATGCTTATGAGATGAAGTTACAAACTTCAGAGTGACAACAAACCAAAGAACTTTATAACCAAATATAACTAAATTTAGATATGCACAAGTGATGAGTCATCAAATATTGAGCAAATACAAAAATTACAAACTCCCATTAAATCTAGATATTGCATTGTCTAATACATGACACAAAAATTACTAACATAACTACCGATGGATGATATAAAACAAGTTGTTGCACTAAAATTCAAAAAGCGACTAGCTTTCTGAGGCTAAGTGAAGGCTCGGCTCGGCTCGACCTTCTGAAGTCGGCCTTTTTGGTTTGGTCCTTGTAAACTTAAGTTCTATAGAACATTTTATTAGAACTCTTAGGCATTTTACATGTCCTATAAAACCAATTTTGTCGTAATGACTGTAACGGCTCTACACCTAGACCACTGCAAGGGGCACCCGGGCTTATGGCGATCTTAGGTCCAATGTAACTTACATAAGTGTGCATTCTCCACGTCCTAACTCATACTATAACTTAACCAATAAACCCATATTCTAAATCACATAAACTATACATGACACTGAAATCACCTCAAATTTCTTGAATCTCAAAATTGGAGGTGGATGTTGGGAAATGGAGAGCTGACTGATTCCTGGAGTTTGGAATTTTGGAGCTTCCTTCTGATCATCTTTCCCAACACTTTATTGGTTTCCAAGAGAAGTAAAAGAGTTTCATCAGAAAATTCGTCCTAGCACTTGCCGCTTAAGTTTTCTCTGCAATTTTATTGGTGGAAAGATTCGAGGCAACGTGTAGATCCTCAAAGTCACTGCACGAGTACGGATACTGGTTACAGAACAACGAGGACACCATGCCAGTAGTTCAGACTTCAGACGGTAAACCATATCAGTAGAATCACATGTAGTGGACACACTATGGAGTACATTACGTGTGAAATAATTGACACACATTATTAGTTTAAAACCCAATTAAATTACAATGCGCATTTAGTTATAAATTGGTCCATACGTATTGGATTTTAATCCCACTGTCAGCTATTTAATCGCTGGTCCACCTTCGGTCTTTAACCTCTTATTGAGTGGTCCATTTGACGTAATAATCGTAGTTCCAGTCTTGTGTTGCACCTCATTATAATTGGTGCATTAGCTGTACCAGCAGTGATTGTATTGGATGTAATTCACGGTCCACCTTCGCTCTTTAACTTGTTGGTCAGTGGTCCATTTGACGTAAGACTTAAATAGTTTCAATCTTGTATTGCACCTCATAAAAACTGGTGCATTAATTCATTAGCTGTACTATCATTGAAGCCACACCTGCAGCAATTTGGCATGAGAAGGGAGAGATGGTATGTTAAGTTGGGAGACTCACTAAGGTTGACTTATCAAAGCTACATGTCCACTTTTGGATAACACCCTTAAATTCTCTTCCAAGGGGCCAATCTGTTCTGAACCTTCTCCAGACCTGACTAGATGCATATCTAGCACCCATTGGCATTGGTAGAGCCCGATTGGTAGCTGTCAGTGGCGGATCTCCAGACTCATCGTATTTGAACCTACGTGACCATAAAATGATTCTTATTTCTACTTGGATTTGAACCAATCAGGTGCCCGAAAGATTGGATCCTATATCTATGCTAAGATCAGGATGTTATACAAATAGATAAGAACTGCACAGTGGAATAGTTGATGCAAAGCATGAGTTATATATAATTAATAATGATTCAAATGTTTGTTTTGATAAATAATGAGTTTTAAGAAACCCAAAATGGTGAAAAGAAGATACATTGTATGAATCAGTAAAAAACTTTAATAAATGGATAAATCAAACAAAGACACTTGGTTTTAGAGTAGGATCGATTTATGTAAACAATTCATTTACTACAAAAGAGCAGGGTTCATCTTACACTGTTTTCATCTTTGGGAACATTTTTTAATCAAGTTAAATGCATGAAATAATAATTTATTATTATAATTTTTTTTAGTATAGCATTCAACTTTTTTTTTTATTTTATTATAAGAATATACTTTCGAATTTTTTTTATTAGGGCATCGTACTTGGAGTAATCTACTCATTATAACAATGTGTTTGTCTTTTAAACTGGTTAACCCTTTTACTTTTTTTTTGCTTGTTTGGCTTCAATGAAGTGATAAACATGACATATTATTTTCATGACATGATTAAAAAAAACCTATTTCAAATTATTTTAAATGATTTTCATTTTTTATTGTTATGATTTAAAAAACATTTAATTTTTTTGACTCTTCCGTGTTAAATTGCATGCAATAAACATTCTAGAGTAAAAATTTCTCAAATAATTATGATATATTAATTTTGAGATAAGTATTTTGTTTGTAAATAAGGTAACACTTGTTATTTTATTTTGTTAAAAAATATGTATTTTAAAGTTCTTTTTAAGATGTTAGCTAGATAAATTGTGATCTATAAATTTTTTAATATTGTTATATTAATGAATAAAAGATAAATCTAATGAATGTAATATAATTATATGTCAAGTAATTTTTTTAAACAAATATGATATATTATTTAAAATATAATATTTTTTTGGTTAAAAAATAAAATAAAAATTCATATTTTATTTTTTCAAATAATACATATTTTTTAAAAATGTTTGCGAGATAAATTGTGTTATAGTAACTTTATTAATACAAGAAGGGTACTCGCGCAACGCAGCGAGATAAATTTCTATTTCAATATTTACTTTTTATTTTTCTTTATCGATATAATACGATTATAATATGTGGTTTTGAGAAAACGATAATGTTTTATTTTTGAATGAAATATGAATTTGAATATAGATATGAAAAAGATAAATTTATATTAGTATCAAATTAACTATTTAATAGTTCTCATTTTTTTTTGGTGTAAATTATTTAATTTAATTTTTTATTATAATTTAATTTAGATTTAATAACAAAATAATTTATTTTTGATTTAATAATATAATTTATTATAAAAATAATAATTAAACATTATGTTATAACTCAATGATTATCTTAATTATAATTTATATTTTCCATATTTAAAATGAATGTTTATCCTGTATTTGATTATATTTATCTGCAGTTAGTTACATGAATTCAAAAATGGAGATTTAATAAGTTGTATTTATGCAAAATTATTTTTAATCTTGAATTTTAAGTAATATGTATCAATAAACAGTACTTTATACATAAAAAATGGTTTTTAAGAGTTTTTGTCAAATGCTTTATAATATAATATAAATTGGTATATTAATTAATAGTTTAGAAATTTTCTAGTTCATTTAATATATTTATTAAATAACATGTAACATGTCTAAATAATAAAATATTAAAATTAAAAATAGAATGTCGTAATAAAAATCGATGGATGCTATAATAAAACAATTTTGAAAATACAGTGTTGTAATAAGAAATATCATATCGGCTATAATACATGTGGACAACCTACGTGGACAGTGAGGTGACATGAAAACATGGTATAGTGGATAAATTTAAATCAAAAGGTTACCCAATGCTATAATAAGTAAAATTTTCAAAGTACAATGTCTTAATAAAAAACAATTTAAAAATACAGTGTTGTAGTAAGAAAAAAAAATGGAAATACAATGCTATAAATAAAAAACTTTATGAAAATAACTTGTTATTTTATACATTATGCCATTTTTACTTTCCATGGCTTATTATTTTCTAACAACTGCATTTAACATTGATTTATTGTGTTTCACATCAAAGTCATCATTAAAATGTTTTCTATATTTATATAGGAATATAGGAATTAAAATGAGAAGTCATGAACCCATAATTACAAATATAATTAATATGCTTCCAATTCCAAGTTTCTTGCTTACTGCTATTAATATGCATGCCTCTATCTCCTCTGGTGTTCATAAATATAGTTACAAAGTTGGTAATTATGACCGATAATTTTTCTAACAAGTTAATGAAGATATTAGCTTGATTAGCTCCTCTATCACACAACTTGTTAGAATCTGCTTCTTCTGAGAAAAATTATCGGTCATAATTACCAACTTTGTACCTATATTTATGAACATGTATTGGTGTAAGTTATATGTAGATGTGAACTAGTAATTTTTGGTACATTTTCCCACAGAAGTTAATTTAACCTTTTGGGATATAATTTATGATGTTTCTAGCTTGATGACAATCAAATTCCTTGACACATCATGTGTAATTAACTCAAGATTTCTGCTGGTGTATATATATATATATATATACATATATATATATATATATATATATATATATGTATGTATATTCAGATATGAGGAGGTTCAAGCAAAAACATAGTTTAAAATAACATGAAAAAACTTATATCAAATGTAATTCTAGACTAGATTAGATTCAGTCAACACAGAGGATGCGCAATCATGCGCTTGGTTGGGCGAGCGACCTAAGAGCGTTGATCAAATCTGAATCACATAATGTGATTTTTAGTCTAAAATCACATATGATATATAGGCATCATGGTGTTCTCATTTGAACCTAACCCGATTCATATATGTATTTGTGATGAACAATTAATAACATGTGTTGCTGGCAACTTTCTTCTGCTTATAGAGCATACAACACTTGATGATGAACAGAAAAGATGTTTATCACTGGAAATAGTTACCATAACTAATGCAAGAAAATTTACAAAAATGGATGAAGTTTGAGAATGCATATAAAGAAAGAAAAAGAAAATAGTAATAGCAAGATGACCGAAAATATGATCTACTTGTCCATTATATTCCACACAAAAAAACATTAGTTTTTTTAGATTTGTCTTCTCAAACTTTTGCTCATAGCTAAGCTCAAACAACTAAAGAATCCCAAATGAGTTGAATTCTTGACGTAACTGATTCAGGGATGGATGGGTTGGGTTCAGTAGGACCATGTATATATATAGCATGGTAATGTTCTTAATTACTGCAGGGGAATCTGGTTACTTGCCTTGGTTTTGAGATTGGAAATGCAGAATATTGGTGGTGATGGACATGAAAAATGAGCTAGGGTTTTGTTCATAAATATCACCTGTCAGAGGCACCATTCCGTAGTTGCAGGATTCGGTTATAAAATTGTCAGCATCCCATTCTCCAGGAATTCCTAAGAATCCATCCCTGGAGTTTTGCCAACCTGCTGGAGTGTTGTGGTTAATCAATGTGGAGCAATACTTCGATGCGCCCACAATACTCCCTGAATAATTTTCAAAACTATCAACATTTATATTGGCCAATTGCAGATGTTCTCGAAGCAAGTGATGAGTACCGGAATGTTCAAGGATGGGACTTGATGCTTCTTGTTGGATGGGTTGAGATGGACTAGATCTGTACCCTAATTTTTCTACATTGTGATCATTAAGGCTTGCTGCATATCCTATCCCTAATTTGTAAATTTCATCTTTAGGGTTCCTTCCGAACAACTGCTTCGATTTCTCAAGTTCTTTGATCATCAGTCTCTCTCTTGTTCTGTCCCTCGCTCTTGCTCTCGCTTGGTCCCTTGTCTCCCTTGCCAAATAATGATTCTGAACTCTCCTCCTTGATTCCCTGTTTTGTATCTCCTCCTTTGTGTTCTCCAGTTTGTCGGTTGCAGCTTTGATCTCGCTACTGAAGCCTGCTTCACACTCGGACATAAGTGAATGCATCCTCTCCATCTCTACACTCAGGCTTTGGTTGGTGTGTTGTGGATTGAAGTTTTCAGCGACCTCTTTGATGGCTTTATTGGATTTGCAAAAGAGCCACTCAATGGTCTTACTGGCTTTGTCAAACCCTAACAAGTCTTGGAGATCGAAAAACTTGCGGGCAATGTGAAGTGACAACCTCATTCTCCTATCTCGAAGACCCTGAGCTGTATGTATCTTGCTGTGCCTGTCCTTCTTACCTACATTACTTGTTTTCTTTAGACGATTCGATTCAGAAGAAGGCTCATGAGTGATATTTTTTAAGGGTTTGTTCGGGGAGCAGATCAGGTGACGTTGATTGGTATGACTGCCTATGAGCATTGGAGTAGTAGAGATTTCATCAAAAAAAGGTGAAGGGAAGCCCCGAAACAAAGGAGGCTCTTCTTCATGGCATGAATTCAGAATTCCATGACCCTTCTCCTTGTTTGGATCAATCAAAAGACACTCCTCTCTTTTTGAAGAACACATATGCTCCATATTGAGAGAGAGAGAGAGAGAGAGAGAGAGAGAGAGAGGTTATTACTTATGCTATTTCTAGTAATTAAAGGCTGGTTATATAACTGTTCTTTTTCGGATCAAGAGCTTCAGGTGATGCTGTAATTGCACATGGTTGAAGGAGGATAAGATGATGATGGTGGTGAAGAAGGAGAAGGTGAACTTGATGCTTTTGAACAGAAGCATTGTGTATGGCTTCGAGTCTTGGACCATATAAGTGATGAGAGAGAGAAAGTGGACGTCTCGTAGCAATTCACGTGGTTGCAGAGTAGCTATATCTTGGTTTTCTGGCCTAGAGAGAGAAAAGAGAGAAGAGGTTTACATGTACTTTAACTCCGTTTGAAAACATTCAATTTTTGTTTTAAAATATCTCGTTATCATTACTTCATGCATATCATTTCTAAAGAAGTAGGAGAAAGAGCAAGTTATATGGATTTCCTGAAATTGTTAGGCTAACAAAGAACAAGTTACTAATTGAACTTGTGGAATTGATATCGTTTTTACAATCTAACCTTAGCAATTCAACGTTGTTAGAGTCCCACCCCATTGGATGGACTTGGATAAATTCTCCTCTATGCATGTTAGAACCTCCATTTTCTTTTTAATTAAGGGCTCTTTTGGAAAACAATATTGGGATTCCACATATTCTCACATGATATCATAGTCAAGTTCTACTCTCTAGAACATCTTTGCCCATCTAGTCTCAATTGGAAAGAACGTGTTAGAGTCTGATATCAGCTAGATTTATATAAATTCTTCTCTCTATATGTTAGAACCTCCATTCTTTTCTTATGAGCTCTTTTAAAAAGTAATCTTAAGGTTTTACGTATGCTCGCAAATATATCATGTGAAAAATACTAGACTTGCATATATTGTATTTCTAGGACCCAAAAAACTAGCCATATATTGTTTTTTAGTTAAAAACCTTTAATAATGAATAGGGTTGTGTTGAGACAAAGCTGGTATTTTTATGACCACTAGCCAAAAGGTGTGAAGTTGGTCATGCATCTTTGACTGAAACGAGGGCCGGTCTATACCGCCCTATGTTATTACTTTGTCCCCTTCGCTTCCATAAAGTATATGTGTTTGATTTGCTTCTAGACCTCCTATATATTAGTTTTGTTTATAGGCTCTCAAAGCTTTTAGGTTATGTTTGACAAAATAGGTATAAACTAGCTGATAGTTGATAAACTAACTGGTAACTGACAAGTAAATTGATGAAAAAAATCATGTTTGTCAAAAACTAGTTGATGTAAAAATAAATGATCAAGAAAGGTATCTGAAAAATTAATCTATTATAATATTTCAAAATATAATTTAAACAAATCTCTAATAATTTAATATATTAACTATTACAAACAAGATAGTAAAAAAATTAAAAAATATAATATATT